TGGGAATATTGGTGTCTCGCATGTTTAACCGGTTAAACCACTTTGATTAACCAGTTAACAACATAATGTTTGGGTTTTTTCTGTCATGGGTTGCATTGGTACTCCCATAGCACTAATTAGGGGACTGTTAGCAAAGAAATAAAAGCTCATCTTATTGTTTTTTTCAGGCTTAGCAATTGATTGAATCAAAAGAGACTATGTCAGTTAACATGTTATGTGATTGAATCAAACGATGTGCACTGGACTGGTATGATAGAAATAAATTCTTGGTGGTTACTGGACTGTTAGCATTTTATGAAACAAATTGAACAGCTGCTTGATGTGAAAATGAACTGTGAAATGGCGTATCTCGCAGGTGTTAACAAAGTGTGGTGATATAGTTGGAAGAAATGGTGAACATGAATTGGTGAAGTTTAATGACAAAGGACAACTACTAGAGTCTATGCTTTCAGACATATCCGAATTGGTGGTGTATACAGAGTCTCTGTTTTGACTCCCTGACACCAGTCAAACATTGGAAGATGACTATTGATAATAAAAATGAAGAATGTATCATGAAACATTTCATTTCCTTCGTCATCTTTATTTTATTTCGTCATTGTATTTTAACTTTTACAGAATTTTATGTTATTGCTATGTCAGCATTAGCAAGTTGTTTCCTTCCATTATTTTACTGTTTTTTTTTTCTTGATGTCTTGATACAAAATTTGTTGCATTGCTAGCATGTTATGACTTACGACGTCTATTTTTAAGCTCAGAAAATCAATTGACAATGATTTTTTAAGCTCAGAAAATCACAAAGCAAGACATACCTAAACAATTGGCATTGGTATAAAACTGGACAGACCTAAACAATTATGCTCTAAAATCATGCATCAAGGGTTCAAAAGAACATTCAATGAGTGGTTCTAGCAGCAATGGTTGTAACAAACATGACAAAGTTAAACATCCAGCATACTAGTCATAACAATAACAATGTCAGCAAAGTGCTTTGAAAGTTAACAAATTTCATGAGTAAAATCTGAACAGAAGTAGTAACAAATCTTGGTGTTTACCAATGTCAACACTCACATTAATTCAAGCATTTTGCTTCAAATGAAATGTTACAACTTCATGCTAACAATCACACACGATCTGATGACAGATTTATTTAGAAAGGTTTTGGAACAACTGTTATGTTAATCTCTCTTACCACTTTCAATTTTTGATCAACAGCTCGAAGCCGGCATCGCGCGTCTACATAGCAGAATCAATTCTCGTAACTATTAGAGGTTTGTACTTGGTTTTCGAAACTGAAAACATATAATTCATGTTGTTTCAGTCTTGATACATTGGTTCTCTTGCAGTGACGATATGCAGGGGCGACAGGAAGCATATTTGAATGCTTATCCAATCTTTCAAGAAGAGTTTGACCAAGCTATGCTCACACAAAGGAGCCTGAGGTTATGATTCTGAACCTACAACTTGTTTGATAGCTTGTTGTATTGATGCAATAGTCTCACTAGAGCCTGTAGTGAACAAAATCTTATCCTTCGAAACAGAATTTTACATATGTCGTCCTTCTGAATTATGATTCAAAGTAGATTTACAGAATTTCTATCAACAATCATTACTAACAAACAACATGACATGAATAATTATTTCAAAACATTCAAAATACAAAAAAGGAAATATTCATAGAGGCAATTTAACAAACACCATACAAGCAATTACAAAACAATAAATACTCACTTTCACTTGACAATTAAACCTACTTCTTCTTCCCTCCACCACTTTTAATCCCTTTACGCCTCGAAGGAACAACAATCTCACCTTTGAGTACAGGAATCTCCATAATGTCCGATAAATCACCGAACTTCTTACGGAACTTCTCCACCTGATCATCATTCACCATGTTGGATGAACGGTTACCGAGGTAAAACTGGTGGTTACCTGACCAAACATCAACAACATACTTTTTCTGAGTTCCACCTGTTGTCATAACAAGCTCGTTGTTACAATAAACCTTAGCATCTTCGTAGAATTCTGGGTGTATGTCTTTTTTCTTACACCATACTCCGAAATTACCCACTTTTTTTCCTTGTTGCTGCTGAAACTATAAACACAAACAAAAACGAGTTAATTAGTTAGGTGAAGATGGAAACAATAATAATATGAAGAATTGGAAGAAGGGAATTGATTGATACGTTTTTTGTGGGAAGTGGAAGGAATGGTTTTCCTTGTAGAAAGGTATTGGTTACGCACTGCGCCATATTTTAAGATATGGATTTGATGAAAAGGATGAGAAATGGAGATTGTGTGGATATTTGTTGTTGTTGTGCACAATTCAAAATGGGCTTTTTCTACTTCATTTCATTTGGCCCAATTAGCCCGTTAGAAAATTTTAACAAACAGCAGCAAAGCATTTTGTTTACAAACAAACAAAGCACTTAAGCATTATATCTATTCTATTGACATGGAACGGTAGTCTTTTCTATTGAGTTCCGTCAACTACCACTAAATTACTTATATAATATATTTTGGGAAATGATCTAGGACAGTTAGTTACAATTAGGGAAGGGTTAAAATTAATTGAGTTCAATGAAGAAATCAGTTAGAAGTTAACTTTGTTAGTGTCTTACTGTTAGAAACTGTTATGAAATTAGTTATATTGGAACAGTTAGGGTGGATCATTTTGAAGTTGGAGTGTTTAGTTGTGATTTTGAGATGAGTTAGTTGTCAGTTTAAATTTGTGACAGTTAATAAATTTGTGATGCTAGTGAGTTAGATTAAGTTGATGTTAGAATGTTAGGATTATAAATGCAGTGCTTGAATTATGCTTGGATTGCTATAGAATCAATTTGACTGTTATGGTATTGTTTGATGTAAGCTGTTGTTGAACTTGTACGTGTAGCAGGAGTATGGGCTGTCATGTAAGAATTTTTAACTGTTGTGGACGCTTTTTTTGAACTGGTATTGTTAGGTTTTGCAGGTGTAACCGGTTAACCACATTTGTTAACCGGATACCAACACGGCATTTGGATTTTTGTGTTATTGGATCAATTTGTTTAGTTGGAACTGAATTAGTGAATTGGCAGTGGTATGCTTATGTTAGGATTACATGAATGTAGGCCTGTTATGGTCTTGCTAAAATTGATGATGAGCTAGTTTGGGAGGGACTAAATTGACTGTTATTTGCACTGTTATGTAATGCTACATTATTATGAGACTTGAGCTAGGTTATGTGCTAACTGCGTGCATTGTGTTTATGTGTTTTAGAAACAAAGCTGCTGTGTGATTCTTGAATTGGGAATATTGGTGTCTCGCATGTGTAACCGGTTAAACCACTTTGGTTAACCAGTTAACAACATAATGTTTGGGTTTTTTCTGTCATGGGTTGCATTGGTACTCCCATAGCACTAATTAGGGGACTGTTAGCAAATAAATAAAAGCTCATCTTATTGTTTTTTTCAGGCTTAGCAATTGATTGAATCAAAAGAGACTATGTCAGTTAACATGTTATGTGATTGAATCAAACGATGTGCATTGGACTGCTATGATAGAAATAAATTCTTGGTGGTTACTGGACTGTTAGCATTTTATGAAACAAATTGAACAGCTGCTTGATGTGAAAATAAACTGTGAAATGGCGTATCTCGCAGGTGTTAACAAAGTGTGGTGATATAGTTGGAAGAAATGGTGAACATGAATTGGTGAAGTTTAATGACAAAGGACAATTACTAGAGTCTATGCTTTCAGACATATCCGAATTGGTGGTGTATACAGAGTCTCTGTTTTAACTCCCTGACACCGGTCAAACATTAGAAGATGACTATTGATAATAAAAATGAAGAATGTATCATGAAACATTTCATTTCCTTCGTCATCTTTATTTTATTTCATCATTGTATTTTAACTTTTACAGAATTTTATGTTATTGCTATGTCAGCATTAGCAAGTTGTTTCCTTCCATTATTTTACTGTTTTTTTTGCTTGATGTCTTGATACAAAATTTGTTGCATTGCTAGCATGTTATGACTTACGACGTCTATTTTTAAGCTCAGAAAATCAGTTGACAATGATTTTTTAAGCTCAGAAAATCACAAGCTAAAAGTGATTTGCTCAACTTATGAATTTGTTTGGTTTGCCAATAGATTTTCATTTTCTAAAATTGATTCTAGCAGCTACCACAATAGATTTTCGTTTACTAATATTATAGTAATATGATGTAGTCTACCTGAATTTTACTAATATTATAATATTAGGTTGACATGATAACCACTGCCATATTCGTGCATGCATAATGGAGAAGAAGCATAAGTTGTTACAAGTACAAGTTTGAGAATAAGGAGAAGTTATTGCAATGAAGAAGAATGAGATAATGTTGGAGTATAAAATGTCTTTTAGAAGTCTCACATTGATTTTTGTATAAGACATGTTTATAAAGCTGAAACAAGTACAATAATTCAATTGTGGGTTAGAAAGATGGATCAAAGACATGGATTAACAACTAAATTCTCAAAAAATTTTATTTAAAATTTTGATTAATTAATTAATTACAAAAAATAATAATATTAAAATTCAACACTTAAAAAATGGACAAAAATAGTTATTTTTAATTAAGCCAAAAATGGAAGGAACAAAACCCAAAAAAATATAAAATAAGAGACCATAGTTGCAATTAAGAAAAGAAAAAAAAAATAGTGGCAGTAAAATTAGTTGAAGAAGATGAGATGATAAACAAAAAATGAAGAAGAGGTCTGTGTTTTTCTCAGTCTCACTGGTCACTCTCAACCTCAAGGGTCCCTCTCTCAATTTAGATTTCAGATTCAAACATATTTTTCCACCTTTGCTTCATTAAAAAACCCCAAAAAGAATAAAAAGAGAAAATTCCCAATTTGTGGGAATTAGGTAAAGTTTGTTCTTTTTTGTTAATTCAATTTTTGGGTTGGTTTTTTTAGCTTGAATTTTGTTGCTAATTACTCAAACATGTGCATTTGTGCAGTAATTGTTAACAAGCTATGAATCCACCAATTTGTGCCCCTTCATCTTCTTCTTGCTCTTATATTCGTCCTCATTCATGCCTCACTTGTGCTTCTCGAAATTTCAAGTTTCCTCTGTAAGTGTTCCTTTTGCCAATAATTTTTTTTTTAAAACATTTTTAGTAACAAGTTATTTCTTGTTTGTAGTTTAGTTGATTTGATAGGATCTGAAGATGAGTTCATTTAACCAGAAGCACCATAGTTTAAATCTGAACTATTGTGGTTGAATCCAAATTTATCTAGTATACTAGTATTTCATTTTCAAGCATTGTTTTTTATTTTTATTTTGCTACAAATTTCATGTACTCTTTGTTCACTCTCAATTTTGCTTGAATTGTTCATTTTAAGTGTTCACCGGTCACGATTTAGGGTTCATGTTTATAATTTCTTTCCATTTGGGGATCCAAGACTTACTTGTATAGGCTTCTTAATTTTGCATGTGTTGTAGGCTATTGCCACAGGCAATATGTACCACTCAGAAGGTGTATCGCTGCTCTGGAGGCCATGTGGAGGCTTCTATTAATGCTAATCCGTTGAAAACTTGCATAGTTGGCAAAATTACTCCAGGATGGTCCGAAGCACGGCCTTTGGTTTCCAAACGATCGCTCAACAGGCACCTGTTACCTGTGGAAGCTTTAGTAACTTCAACAACTCAAGATGTTTCTGATACGCCTCTTATTGGTGATGATAAAATCGGAGTTTTATTGTTAAACCTTGGAGGTCCAGAGACTCTAGACGATGTGCAGCCTTTTTTGTTTAACCTTTTTGCCGATCCTGTAATACTCTAGCTTTAGCACAATATTCATATGATATGGGTAAATTGTTTTTTAGCATTATTATACATTTTCTGTACAATTATGCAGGATATTATACGATTGCCGAGGTTATTTACTTTTCTTCAGAAGCCATTGGCTCAATTTGTATCTGTTTTAAGAGCACCAAAGAGCAAAGAAGGCTATGCTTCCATTGGTGGTGGATCCCCTCTTAGACGCATGACTGACGCACAGGCATGACACTTCCTGATAACCTTTTTCTATACTCTACAACACATATTTCACATTTGAATTGTTAGATAGCATATCACATTGGAAACTTTTTTAATTTACCCGATATTGAATCAGTTATGTGTTAGAGAATGTTTTTGAGCTCTCTTGTTGCTCTAATGGTTCTCTATACAGGCTGAAGAGTTACGGAAATCTCTATCTGAAAAGAATGTCCCTGCCAAAGTGTATGTCGGTATGCGTTACTGGCATCCATTCACCGAAGAGGCTATTGAGCAGGTATTTATCATCTTTATCGTAGATTCAAATTGGATAGCAATAAATAAGATTGTGCTGCTGTCAGTGATGCATTTTTAGAAGTTAAGGTCTCTATGTTATCAAAATACGTGATCTAACTGATTTTCCTTTGAAATATATCACATAGATTAAACGGGATGGAATTACAAAGCTTGTTGTGCTTCCACTTTATCCACAATTTTCGATTTCAACCAGTGGTTCAAGTCTGCGTCTCTTGGAGAGTATATTCAGGTGATTACTAACAAAATCTACTATTATCAAATCATCATACTCCAATTTATCATCTAACACTTTGTTATGTTATGAATTATTTATCGGTTCCATAGAGAGGATGAGTATCTAGTCAACATGCAGCATACGGTAATACCTTCATGGTACCAACGTGAAGGATACATAAAAGCCATGGGAAATTTAATTGAAAAAGAACTTAATAGTTTCGATAGCCCAGAGAAGGTACCACTTCATTTATATTTAAATGACTGAATTATGGTACCTAAACATTTTCATCTATAATGTTATTCTTCTACTTCAAATGTTGATAGCTTAATCTATATAGCCACTATCAGATATTTCGGGTTAGGGTAATAGAATGATGGTGGTGGTAGATTACTCTGCTCGATTAACTTTAATGTATTTGGAAGATTGTCGAATGACATTACTACTAAAAACTAAAACAACCACTATTTTTTGTTTATTCTTTATAGGTTTAATTGTGTTTTTAGTCTTACTGTTATGGTCAATATCTGATTTAGTCCCTCAATAATTATGTGGTCAAATTTAATCCTCTCGATTTTTCATATCTTTTAGGCTTTTTGTTATGGCACTATATGTTGTATCTACTCAATATTAACAAATTGAACCAAGTGTACCTTTTAACCCTTTTCTGCTCAAGTTAGAACACCAAATTTCACTCAAAATTGGGGGAAAATATGAAAAAAAAAATCCCCTTTGAAAATTTAATCTCAAAATCCTTTAAGTCACTAGATTTCCCGATACTGAATTAGTATAAATAATTTCCTCTCCCAAATCTGTCCTATATCCCTGATTATTTGAGTAGAAAAGGGACTCGGGGCTTTTTGGTAAAAGAAAGTTGATGGAAGGACTTAATTCTTACAAGACCTAATTCTGGCACGTAAATACTGGAGATTGAATTTGTACAAAAAATTGTTAGTACCAAAACCGCACATTAGAGGGAGCACCTATAGTAGAGAAGATGGTGGAAAATAGACTTAAATGGTTTGGGCATGTAGAGAGAAGACATGTAGGTTTTGTGGTAAGGAGAGTAAATCAGATAAAGAGAAGTTAAACAATTAGAGGGAGAGGAAGACCTAAAAAGACCTAAGAGAAGTTATTTAGGAAGATTTCGAGATTAACGATTTGGATAGAAGCATGGTCTTGAATAGAACATTACGGCGCAAGTTGGTCCATGTAGTCGACCCTACATGGTGGAATAAAGCTTGGTTGTTGTTGTTGCTGTTGTCGTTGTTGTTATTGTACCAAAACCACACATCGTAGTTGAGTATCCAAAAGTTTAATAAGATTTCTTTTTATATTTAGTATCGATGACAAAATATTTCTGGAACTCAAGCAAGCTCCTTTTGAGCTTAATGTTGTGTCACTTCTTTGTAGATATTTGTTTTAGTCCTAGTGACTAGTTTTTGTTGCAGGTCATGATATTCTTTAGTGCACATGGGGTGCCGGTTGCTTATGTGGAAGAGGCCGGTGATCCATACAAGGCGGAGATGGAGGAATGCGTGGATTTGATCATGGAAGAGCTTGAGAAAAGAAAGATAACTAATGCATACACACTTGCTTATCAGGTACTTTTTGTTACAAATTTGTGACCCTCAGTTTCTTGTTTTGAAGTATTAATAGAGGATATTGATTCATAAAGTGCAGAAATTCAAGCTTACTGTATAATGTTTACTTAAAGGAAAACTCTATCATATTTTGTTTTTTCCAAACATGAACATTCTTGACAAGGATGAGACTTTTCCACCGCAAGAAATTCAAACGTCTAGACTTATAGTGAGATTTCTTTTCGGCTTGCATATATAGAGAATGAATCTACCAGTATAGTCCTCACTGAAGTCACAATTGGAATTTCCCTATCAACTAGGACATAATATTGTAAACAGTTTGTGTGATTCAGCTGTCATTACGTAAAGAAAACTTTTTGTAAAAAATAATCTCGAGAACATTGCAAAGATTACACAACAACGTACACGCAGATGACTTATCTCTACAGTACACTAAATTTGTATCAATCTCTTCCTATTTCCAAAATGTGGCTACTACTGCTTTCCTTTTCCAAATTTCTAACAGTTTATTATAACTCTTGTACAGAGTAGAGTTGGACCCGTGGAATGGTTAAAACCCTATACAGACGAGACAATAATTGAACTTGGGAAAAAGGGAATAAAAAGTTTGCTGGCTGTACCAATTAGGTAACATCAACCTCCCTCGCTTTTTACTACTAACGTATAGTTGTCAAACTCTCTCTCTCTCTGACCTGCACTAGAGTAAGTGACACTCGTATTTGGTTTAATGTCTTTATTCACAGCTTTGTCAGTGAACATATTGAAACACTAGAAGAAATTGATGTCGAGTACAAAGAACTGGCATTAGAATCTGGAATAGAAAAATGGGGCCGTGTTCCTGCTCTTGGATGTGAACCCACTTTCATTTCAGACTTGGCAGATGCAGTAATTGAGAGTCTCCCGTATGTTGGTGCAATGGCTGTTTCAAATCTTGAAGCTCGACAGGTACTCTTATCAACTCTCATATTTATATCTCTATTTTATAGTTGGTGCTTTCATTACATTGTATGATCCAACAAAGTTTTGGTTTGTTGGCAGTCTCTGGTTCCCTTGGGCAGTGTAGAAGAGTTGCTGGCAGCATATGACTCGCAACGCAGGGAGTTGCCTCCGCCGATATTGGTGTGGGAATGGGGATGGACAAAAAGTGCTGAAACTTGGAATGGAAGAGCAGCTATGATTGCAGTGCTACTTCTGTTGTTTTTAGAAGTCACCACTGGAGAGGGATTTTTGCACCAGTGGGGAATACTGCCATTGTTTAGGTGAATGAGACCTTCCTCCCCACTCAATGGCCATGGAATTTAGTTTTTGCATGTATATGTATACCATTAGCATGACCTATGCCCTTATAGTCGAAGTCGCGCACGGAAGGAATTCTAAAATCTAGTTTAGAAGCAACATTTGTGGATGGAAAGAGAGAAAAATAATGTATAGCGAGTTACTCTTGTATGTATTTATATTTGGGTTTCATGACTTGTGATAGCTGTTGTGGCTTAAAAAGCAGTTATTGATAAGAGACTGTCAATTATTCTTTGTTGACATGAGAGATAGAGTTTGAAAAGGGTGCAAAAGTCTTGCTCATTTTGTTTGCTTCCCAGCTTATCAGCACCAGTGTTTTGTTTTTGGTCTATAATAGTTCAAACTTGTTACACGACCGACTGATTTTGAGTCACAAAAATCAATTCGAACGTGTTATGTGACTACTGATTTTATATTAGTCATTAAAGACAATAACAAAACGCTTCAGCAATCCTTCCAACTCCTTAGTCTATTGATCAGAGACACGTAACACCCGTGACCCTAGCACCTCCATCAAGGTAGGCCATTCACAACCTGCTCTCATTTTAGGAGTGATAATGCTTTGGAAAGTAGTCATCTTATCATCTACCGCCCGACCAAGGAATTTCACCATATTGCCCATATGGTTTAACACCATAAATATTTCTTTCCAATCCAATCCTTCGTCACCTTCCCCAAAGTTTCTAGCCACACAACTCCCAAAATCAAATCCACAACTTCTAACTCCAGCATATAAGCATCAAAGCAAATTCGCACCGCTCACACGTCCAAAGGCTTCAACCATCTTAGGGGATATGAAATTACGTGTGGCTCCACCGTCAATAAGAACCAAAATAGATGCACCTTGTAAACATCCCTCCAATTTTATCATTCGGACCTGGTTTGGATTAGTGGATACACCAAACAGTCCCATGGTTTTGCATTCTAATTCTTGTGTGAGCTCTTCTTCCGACTCAGCCTCCAACACCGCAATCTCTCCTTCATCGTTGACAAGTTCAACATTCTCCAAAATAACCTATCGTAACTGTTTGTTGCACATTGATGGAAAAGATCTCATCGTTTGCGAAAACAGAGTCCTTTCGCACAATGCTCATTAACATTTGAACTTGGTAGATGGAGAACGCCAAGAGATTGACGATGTGAATTGTCACCTAAATTTGGGCGAGAAGAGGCTGCAGAATTGGTAGGACGTGTTGACCCGATTTGAGATCCAAACCCCGAACCAGTACACGTTTCGCCCATATTAGTTTGAGTCTAAATTGTAGATTCGTTCCCTTTCCCTTCGCGAAAAGCCCAATTAGGTTTTTGAATTTGTCCATGAGTCATGGCCCGGTTTGTAACGTGCTCTAGAACCCTAACCAAAAGCAACTACAAATTCACTTTCAACATCACGAGCCAATTGCATTGTTAGGTAACGGTTACGAGGCTTGAAGGTACGCATGCAAGAGCGAATACCATGATGTGAACCGCCAATGAAATAACCAATAAACTGTTGCTCTAGCAAACGAATGTGAGGGCAAGTTGTCTCAATCCTTGTTTTAATGATGTCAAAACTTATCGAGTTAGTACTTTGTATTTTGGAAGGTATCATCAAGTCGCATATGCATTCGTAGTTCTCTCGTGCACAAGAGTTTCTCAAAAACACGAGTCTATTCATATAGAAAAATATTATAGGTGTTTTGTGCGGGTTTGATCATGGTGAAAACTTAGATATGCATTAGTTGTGCTTAGATATAGCAAGACATGTCAAAAATAGCATTTTTGGAAGTTCTGAGCATTTGAGTCGACTCAAATCCCTGCTTAGATCGACTCATACAAAGTGAATTTTAAGGATTTTCTCTAAGGAGTGCTCGCGTCGACCCTTCGGTCGACTCATACTGTTAGCATTTCAATTTGTCAATTCTGGACATGTTTGCGTCGACGCATGGACCTGTTTCGGTCGACACATAGAGTCAGTTTCTGCATAATTTTGAAAGCGGGAGTGCTCAGGTCGACCCCCCTTTATTTTAGGTCGACCGTTCGCTCTGTCATCTTATTTTTCTGATGTGTTTGACTTTCAAATGGATGTTATGTTTGTTACTCGCATTTCTCCCATCATCTTCCTCCTCTTTCTTGCATTTTCTCAACAACTACACATAACCATTTTTGTTGATCATTTTGCATCATTGAGGTGATAACATCTAAACATAGGATATTGCATCGGTTTTAGGTTGAGAAGTCAATGAGTTTTTCTTAAATAAAACCGTTAGGATTTTATCCTCTAAGAATCTTGGGGTTTTGAGGGTTTTTGCACAAATAATTTCTTCACAGATTCAGCCGAGCGAAGGTGATTAAAGAACGGGTGGTTCTGTCAATCTAGTAGCGGTAACCGGAGGATTGTGGAAGGAAGATTTGAGTTCGAATTCTGTGTGATTGAAATCATCTGAGCTAAAGATTTGAAGACCGTTGGGTGGTTCAAACGTGTAGCTGAAATTGGAGGTTTATTCAACACATTCGAGGCACTTGATTCATCTTGAATCAAGGGGAGAGAAGACATAATTTCAGCATCAACAACTAGGCTTGAGTGTTTGATTTCTATTGCTTCTCTTGTACAAACAATTTGCAACATGTTTAATAGATCTCAATTCTATTTTTAGAATTGAGGGAAAACGTACCCCAAGCGAGGACGACGGAAGAACTGCCTCAACAAATTTGGTGTTGTTCTCTCTTTTTCTATTTTTCCATTTCTGAATTTTAAAGTTTGTGTTCAATCAAATTGTTCAGTAAAATTCTGGTATAGTGTAGTGCTGACAAATATTTTTGAAAGCTCATCACAATCCTTTTGATTGTACTTGGAAAAGTTTTGCACTACCATTACTTGTATAATTTCACTTGGAGTGTGTCAGACACTAAATGTTTGATAAATTGGTCAAACACAAACCTTTTGGGTTGTTTTCAATTTGAGTTTATTTTAATAAGTTATTGGAAATTGCACAACTTTGAGTGAAAAAAAAATTGTATTGATTGGTGTTCAAATTTTTGATTTGGTTTTTCTCGTCGAAGTCAATAATTCCATATAGGCTTATCGCATATCCGATCTTTTCGGTAACGGTTCGTTTAGACGACCGTAGTTCCTCAGCCATTTCCGCATAAAATTTTAAAAACTAAATCTCATTTAAGCGCCAAATCTATTTAGGAATTAGTGATCTATTCAACCCCCCATTCTAGATCATTGTCGTTGTCTAACAACAACCATATTGTGAAGAATATAATACGAGTTCAACAATGAATTCCTCTACTGATCCTGATTGTTTTAGTTCCTTCAATTCCTCAAAAGAATTTTCCAAATGCCTACATCCAAATCGGACCATCATTGCCTCACGGAGGTTCTCCCATGACAGTTCCTCTGTTGATTCATGCCATAGGTTAAAGCAATGGATAGTAAGGCATTCCATGCTCAATTTTGTCAATTGAATACAAGCATCCTTTGAAATTTGTCGTACCTCAAAGTACGTCTCTTCCCGAGTGATCCATGCAACCAGATTGCCACCGGTAAATGTCGATAACTCCACCTTCTTCGCAGATAAATGAAACTCATCAAACGATGAGGTAACTGTCACACCGCTTGGCTGCGACACTTCGCGATTAGCCATTGCATGTTGAGTCTCAGCACTAATGAACTCTCGTAACGCAACAATGATAACCTAAACACCTTCCAACCGTTCTTCCACTGCAGAAACACGACCAGTCATCTTAGAAGCTCTCGACATTAACAATGGTAGGTTGGACCAATTGATAGAACAAAGGTAAGATAGAATATGATGAAGAAAATTGTTTTATTAATGAATATGAAAACATAAGTAATTTCAGAGCTACTGCTCCTCAGTCGGAGAAACAATTCTCTCACTACCCAAACCTAATACGAAAATAGAAAATAATGACATACCTAGCTACTGCCCCATACAGTCATATTTATATGGGGAATACTACTTGAGCCAACTCTTATTTATTTGGGGAATACTAATTGTTCTGGGCTGCGCCTGTGGCTGACCCAACCTCGAGCACAGTCCAATCAAGCCCTGCGTCGAGGACAACCCATAATGTTGGTCCAATCCCTTGGGGCCAGTAGAAGGAATTTTCCCACGTGCTCCTCACCCAAGAACACGTCATCAACTTAGTCTGCACATCTCGTGGAACTAGTTTGCCCTACGCAATGGGCAAGTCCACCTATTATTCCACTATTCGGAGAATGAAAAGCAGCTGACCCAAGACGATAAGCACTAGCTGCTCATCCCTACCTCTACGTAGGAATCCTGAAAGTCATCCCTTATGTGCCTAAACGCTCAGCCCATACGGAGACCGTTGGCCCAGCGATGGGGGCTCTCTGTAAATACCCTCCTTTGTAGGAGGGTCAGGTATTCTGTTATATTATATTATCTACTCTCTTGTTACCTCTTCACCCGATCAACACATTCGAGACACTTGATTCATCTTGAATCAAGGGGAGAGAAGACATAATTTCAGCATCAACAACTAGGCTTGAGTGTTTGATTTCTATTGCTTCTCTTGTACAAACAATTTGCAACATGTTTAATAGATCTCAATTCTATTTTTAGAATTGAGGGAAAACGTACCCCAAGCGAGGACGACGGAAGAACTGCCTCAACAAATTTGGTGTTGTTCTCTCTTTTTCTATTTTTTCATTTCTGAATTTTAAAGTTTGTGTTCAATCAAATTGCTCAGTAAAATTCTGGTATAGTGTAGTGCTGACAAATATTTTTGAAAGCTCATCACAATCCTTTTGATTGTACTTGGAAAATTTTTGCACTACCATTACTTGTATAATTTCACTTGGAGTGTGTCAGACACTAAATGTTTGATAAATTGGTCAAACACAAACCTTTTGGGTTGTTTTCAATTTGAGTTTATTTTAACAAGTTATTGGAAATTGCACAACTTTGAGTGAAAAAAAAATTGTATTGATTGGT